GAGGCTAGCAGCCGACTGTACAACGCTGCATCAGCTCGAAAAAAAACACCGGCACGCCTGATTCTCAAGAGAAAGAGAGAAGGGCGCACAGTCGAGTATTCTAGGTATTCAGAACGCTGCGCAGGGATCGCCGCCGGGCTTGAGATTGCCAATCACTCCAGGGCAGAGTAAGCAGCACAGAGAGTTGGCTACGACACCTGCGTTGCGATGAACGTTAGGCTGTGGGAAGATATCTCTCCCTCCATCGATGAAAGGTCATTCAAGAAAAAGCAGACGAAACGAGTGCGAATAATGTCAAGCAACCCACCTACGTGCCTACCAACCTTCTGCTCGCTGTTGTGCTTCCACGCGGGAATCTCTGACGTAGAGCGACTCACCCAATCACCTCCGCTCTCTATCCCAGAATACCTTTTTCTCCTTCTGGTCTTGGTGATCTAGATGGCACCGTTGCTGTTATGCGCTCGGGGTCGTGGGGTTGCCAGCGTGCTCTCCTCTACATTTGCATGTGTGTTCCGGCTAGCGGCAGGGCCTTTGACATGAGATACACGTTGGAAAGGACGGAAGCAGAGACTTGGTATGGGCTTAGAGTTTGCGCTTTCGTTCCCGCTTGAACGGCACGGTCGAAGGTCATACAGCCAACGAAATCGAGCACAATCTGTTGCCTCTGTCGCCGCCACCGACCTTTCTCTCTTCAAGGTGGAAATGATGCTCTATCTCGGGACCTTGAGGGCAATGTGAAGCGTTCCGGTATGCCTAGGCAGGATTTGGGATGCCAACAGCCCACTTGCCTTGGACGATCTGCGGGTCCCCTCCAAAGTTTCGAACTGCCAGTGCGGGAGCTAGCTACGCACAGAAACCTGTTGATATGACGATCAAAAACACTCATCAACAAGAAAGAAACAAAAAAAAAACAAGCAACCACCCAACATCGATCGACCTCTGTGACCAACATAGGAGGGATGCTGGTCTCCATCGGAGGACATGACGGTGTGAGTTTGGACTTTGTCATACCGGGCAAAGAGGCTCGATTGGCAAGGGAATGGCGTCACCAAAGACACCACCCGTATCTGACGACACACACCCCCGGCTAAGATCGATGAGCATCGGGGACGATTGTGGCTAGTTGCCATCGCATCACCTCATTCAGCCAAGTATACGCATCGCGCACTACGTTTGACAGCGGTCGAAAGATCCGCGAGGTTCTACTTGCGTGCTCATATGGCGACAGCTCGCGAGTTGCAACTGCACCAAAGACAGAGGAAACAGTGTCCAACAGACGGTAGCTCTTTTGATACAGTCGAAGATGTCTGATCGTCGCACTCAAATCGACGACCCGGGAAGGGCAAGGGGGCCAGACCCCCGCCCCTTGTGGTGGGTCCGGACCATGCTCGAGTCCCGGAGCCAGCTCCCCCATCTCATTGTGTGCGGGTATCCCATGCCATGAGCCTCCATCAAGCATCGCGACAAGAAGCTGGCGCTTGCGTGTGTCAAATATGCCACATTCAAAGCACCGCCAGGATAAGAACAGCAAGAGACACCTGCCAGCCTTTCTTCTATCAAGATGGAGCTTTTCACTCGTGTGCTGCGCAGGGGACATCGAGGAAGAGAGCATTCATGCCCCTGAGGATCTCACTGGAAGGTGACGGAAGCGTATGCGTGTCGCTGGGACGGGTGCCCACTGCGCGACAAGGCCAACCCCTGGTCAAAGGGACCGACCCAAAGAACGGACAATGATTGGCTTTCAGACTCGGTAGGCGGCACCTACTGGGCGAGGTGTGTCTCTTCGTCTCATTTGGGGCCCGTCTCTCTTCTCCCTCTCAGTCGCCAGTTCTTTTTTTTCTGCCCAGCATAGACGGTGGCTTGAGATTACCACCGGGCCTTGGAGGAAGCCGTTCTTTGGCTCATTCGGGTGGCAGTCCAGCTCGTGGCGAAAAAGAACCACTTGACAGCAGACTGCAAACGGTTGCCAGCTGATAATCGAATGTGTATACTGGAAGAGACGGGGTGTGAAGGTCGGATGTCAGGTCTGCGCATCTTATATTGGGCGATGTGCGATGTAGGTGTCTTCTGTGCCTTTGCGACTGATGAGGATACCGGGTTAGGCGCAGAAACTGACTGTCACTTGTTTTTCTTCAGGTCCCGACGCCCTTCCAGAAGGCGTGAAGAATACAGATAAGCGGTAAACACTATCGCGGTACGGGTAGAGGCCTTGAGTGCGGCTCTCTCTCCTTTACACCAAATTCGCGACATCGGCATGCGTGCCGACGTGCGATAACCACGGAGCATCGGTGGTTTGGCCGGGTGTTTTTGATCAGCCTCCATCAAACTCGGAAAACGCAACGCATAGCTAGTCGCCGGCCGCTTTTCTAACAAAGGATGGCACTTTAACAAACATGATGGGCATTCCCAGAGCCCATACTCCGTACACGGTACTCATAAGGCCGCCCAGTCTCCGAACAGAATTGTCTGATGGCCACACATCGTTCGCTGACTGACCACCTGCTCGATACTCTGCCTGATCCGAAAGGACCTGGCATCTGCTCCGTGCAAAAGAAAGGGCAGCTTGTCAAACCCGGGTCCGCGTTGGTCATGGAGCACCCCTGCTCGTTAGTTTTGACCTTGACAGGGGTCCGGGGCGGGCTGCGGGCGAAGCAGAGCGCGGTGGTGGTCGACCGTCGACGTTACTGCAGGACTTTCGGACCTTTGGACTCTGGTAAGGACAGACTGACAGACCAGCCGACTGCAGGTCTCGTGGCTGCGATTTACTCTACGGATAGACTACCGGTACGGCTACGCGACCTATGCCTTGTTGTCTGGACCTTGGACGGTGATCGAAGGCGTCCTCACAACTCTGCATGAAGAGGGTACTGACACCAAGTTCGCCATACCTACAAAACTGCCTGGCAGGCAGCGAAGATTCAGGGGGCCAAGAAGCTGGCTTCGTGCTCTCGTTGGCAGCCAAACAGGCTAGAGATCTTTGTCTTTATTTTGGTGAGATGAAGATTGAACAAACCCTGGAAGCCCGCACTCTACAACACATAGGTACTGCAATGTGTATCCATACGGATACCGGTATGATGTATCAGAGCAGCAACCTCTCATATGGACCTAGTACGCCTGGCTTAGGAATGGAGAGGTGGGGATGAGCACAGACAAGCGCCTGCAGGGCATCCCAAAAGGGGACCACGCCAATGAGCTTGGCTCTCCCGACCGGTACGGAGCTCAGAGTGGCCCAAGTCTTTTTGCTCTGTGTGTGTGCGTGTGTGTGGCAGCGTTGGGAAATGGGAGGAAGTGGAGAGAGGACCGGTGACAGTTTCACCATGTGCTATGAGCCATCTGGTGTTTGCCTGGCATTGGCAGCCCTCTCTGCCCTCTTCTCGTTGCTGGCTGGCTGGCTGTGCTTCTTCTTGAATGGCAGTGTGACTTGATCGAGTCCTTGTTTCTTCTTGTTTGGAGAAACAGCACCACCACCACCAGGAGGCACTGAGACAGATGGGGAGAGCGTGTGAGAGATGGACGGGAGGCATAATGGCTTGTTTGATGGATGTCAACTTTGGTGTCCCATCATCCCGTCCATGGTCCTGCAAGGCGCTGCTGGGACAGTCAGTCAGTCTGGCAGTCTGGCTGGCTGTGGCTTGTGTTCAAGGAAATCCCTGGGATCTGCAGAGCCGGGGGGTGAGGAGGGAGGGGGGTCCAATTCCGTATCTGTTGTGCTGCAACACCAGGTATCGACATGGTGCATGGGTTTTACAGTCATCGACTTTGCCGCCACTTTTGCACGGGTTCGGGTGCCTTGCCTTGCCTTGCCTTGTCCTTCTTCTTCTTTTTCCCCTTGACCCTGGACTTTCGTGCTTCTTTTTTTTTCCCTCCCCTCCCGCCCTTTCTCTTTCTTCTTTCTGCTTCCTGCTGGGACAGTCAGTCAGTCCTGGCAGTCTGGCTGGCTGTGGCTTGGCGTTTATGGACTCTGTTTCCTCGGTGCCAGGCCAGGGGACCAAGAACCTTTGGCCTAGGTACGGTTGGGCTGTAGCCAGCCTATGTTTACTACGGCGTAGTGAAGGGAAGACAGACTGGGGTCCCCATTGTGGGCAACGGCCCATTAGGGATTTTTTCGGTCAACAGTTGACGGGATAGTGCAGTCTGTCCCAGCCGAGCCGAGGCTGGTAAGTAACACATTGCGGATTTTGCGATGGGAGGTGTTTATGCTCAAGAATTATGCTTGTGTGTGTGCGTGTGTGTGCGTAGGGATACGTGTGTAAGAGGAAAAGATGGAAGACGAGGACATGAGTGAAAAAGAGTAAAGAGAGGGCGAGCGTCAAGGCGCGCAGAGAGACCACCATCGCAGCCCTCTGCTCTCTCTCTCTCTTTCAGGCGACGACGCATCGTTTTTGAATGAACGAAATAGATACCTACACCAACTTACATCACGGAAGGTTTTTCCTCCTTCTTGTTGGCGTATGCAATCACCACGGAGGTTGTCTGAAAGGTTGCTGACATGACCCGACCCGACCGATCCTTTGGCTTTGGCCTCTCTGCCTAAGCCCGGCCGCGCCAGTACGTTAGGTAGGCTCGCCTTGCCTTGCCTTACATAAGGTACCTAAGGTACACTACAGAGTACAGGCTCACGGGATGGACGGGTAGTAGGGCGAGGTGAGGTATGTACAGATACATGCTGTCCGCAGTGCACCAAGCGTGTTGGAGAACGTCAGTACGTACTTTTTGCGTTGCCGGTCTGGGACGGATCATTCCAATCCAAGCAAATGTCTTTGGGGGACCACCACCACCACGACGGCCACTACCCACCGATCTCCCCATCAACTGGACCTAACGCTCAGAAGCCGGTGGTGCACACGCTCCACTCTACTGCGTACATGCCTACACTACCTGCCTACGGATACTTACCAGCCTAACGCACCTGGGCTGGGTCCCTCCCATTCCTTTTCGGCAGGTGCTGGTGAAGCAGAATAATCCCAGCTTTCGGCGCCGGATCAACGTCGGGTTACCTTTTGACGACATGCGACCCCCCTCGTGACCTATCCTAACAAACTGAACGATTCCACGAAATAGACACGGAGATAGAAGTAACGTCTGTGACATTGTCCTAGTTGTAGTTGGACAAACACTTCCTACCTCTGCTAATCTAGCAAACCCTTAAATGCTATCGGCCACGACCTTCTTGTGCCGAGCATCTGCCAGATCAATCAAGAACCCCGCCATCGCAGCCGTCACCGTCACCGTCCTTCGACGACCCCTCCAGACCGGAGCTCGATTCTCAACGTCCACCAGCACAATGGCTCCCCCCGCTGCCGCTCTCGACTTTGTCGACTTTGTCAACGCATCTCCTACTCGTAAGCACCCACTGACATATTGTTTGCGGCCGTGGACGACTTCTTTGTCTTCTACCTTTTACCCAGCGGCAGCAGAAGCCAGCTAACCGTGCCCCTCGCCCGCAGCCTACCACGCCTGCGCGACCGCCGCCATCCGCCTCGAAAAGGCCGGCTTCACAAAGATCAAGGAGCGCGACTCGTGGAACTCGGCGCTGCGACCGGGAGGGAAATACTACCTCACCCGCAATGGCTCGTCCATCGTCGCCTTCGCCATCGGCAAGAAGTGGAAGCCCGGCAACCCCGTCGCCATGATTGGCGCCCACACCGACTCCCCGACCCTGCGCATCAAGCCCGTCTCCAAGAAGAGCAACGTCGGCTTCATGCAGGTCGGCGTCGAGACCTACGGCGGCGGCATCTGGCACAGCTGGTTCGACCGCGACCTCAGCATCGCGGGGCGCGTCCTCGTCAAGGACGCCGAGGGCAACTTTGTCCAGAAGCTCATCAAGGTCGATAAGCCGCTGCTGCGCATCCCGACGCTCGCTATCCACCTCGACCGGAGCTCTACCTTTGACCCGAACAAGGAGAACGAGCTGTTTCCCATCGCCGGACTGGCCACGGCGGAGCTGAACAAGGGGAGCGCCAAGCCTGAGGGCGACGAGGCCGAGGAAGATTTCAAGCCGCTCAAGGCCATGACGGAGCGTCACCACCCTCACATTCTCGACGTCATTGCCTCTCACGCCGAGGTCGAGCCCGAGGCCGTCGTCGACTTTGAGCTCGTCCTCTACGACGTGCAAAAGTCCTGCCTCGGCGGCCTGAACGACGAGTTCATCTTCTCGGCCCGCCTCGACAACCTCAACATGACGTACTGCTCCATCGAGGGCCTCATCGCCTCAGTCCGCGCCGCCGACGTGCTCGAGAACGACTCCACCATCCGCCTCGTGACCTGCTTCGACCACGAGGAAATCGGCTCCACCTCGGCCCACGGCGCCAACTCGAACCTCCTCCCCGCGGTCCTGCGCCGCCTCGCCTCCCTCCCGGGCAGCCGGGACACGGCCTCGGACGGGTCTTACGTGGCCGTATCCTCCCACGACGGCGGGGACTACGAGTCGACGGCCTACGAGCAGACGCTCTCGCGCTCCTTCCTCGTGTCGGCCGACATGGCGCACTCGGTGCACCCCAACTACGCGGGCAAGTACGAGTCCTCGCACCAGCCGGCCATGAACGGCGGCACGGTGATCAAGGTCAACGCCAACCAGCGCTACGCGACCAACTCGCCCGGTATCGTGCTGCTGCAGGAGTGCGCGCGCCTCGCGGGCGTTCCCCTGCAGCTGTTTGTCGTCCGCAACGACTCGCCGTGCGGGAGCACCATCGGTCCCATGCTCAGCGCCAAGCTCGGCGTGAGGACGCTGGATCTGGGTAACCCGCAGTTGAGTATGCACTCTATCCGCGAGACGGGCGGTAGCGCGGACGTGGAGCACGCTATTAAGCTGTTTGAGAGCTTTTATGAGCGATTTGGGGAGTTGGAAGAGAAGATTCTCGTTGATTAAGCAGTCCCCGTTTAGGGGGACGCCAACTGAGGTCATTTTGGTCATTAGCTTGGCTTTGACGAGGCGGGTGTAGTTGTAGTCGGTTTGTAGTTGTAGTAGCGAATTGCCTCGGAGTTGTTTGGGTGATTGGAAGGAAATACAAATGTTAATTGAGTAAAGACGATCCCATCTCACCGGTGCTGGTAATTGTGTTCGTCAAAGAGATGTGAAAGTGAACGTGATGAGTGAAGGATGAGAGATTTGGTTGAGATTGGCGTGTTGCTTTTGGGATGGGTGGTTGAGATGAAAGGAGGAAAGAGGTGCCTGACTGGCTGGATGACTGGTCATTCCTTCCTGCTTCCATCTTGTCTACAGATGGGATCTCAGATGGGAGACCCTGACGGTTCTGCTGGCTTTTTGCTCGCAGCCTCCATATTTTTTTCCTTTTCGACTACTTTGCCTTCTCCGCGAGAACTTGCAAGCGCTCCTCATTCAAAACCACAACCGACTTCACCCGTCAGACTGGTTGCTAGTTCACACATTCATATATACATCAGCGGCTGATTCACGCCCCGAATACCTCTGGTATCTCAGCTTCAACCTCCCCCACCTGGACCTCGATCCTACCAGGTCATCGAACCCTGCTTCAGCCAAACATCACCTCGCGCGCAGCATATACTCAACATATGCTCACTCAAGATTTCCGACTACGTCGAACCCGGACCATCGACTTGCAGTCTTGATTTAGGTTCCAGAACACGAGGACGTTATCGAGCTTGAAACGAATTTAGAACGCCTGCTCGTGATTTCGAGATTTCAACCGCGGTGAAGTCGAGGCTCCTCGTGATACGCCTGGGTTCTCAAGGTTCGTTGGTTTTTTTTTTTTTTTTCTATTTTCTTTTTTTTCATTTCAACCTGTCATTCACCTTCGCCTTCGTCTCTACCTTTTAAGGTTCGATATCGAGGCATATGATTCTTTGGCGACCATACTGGAGGATCGCCATCTTCTCGCTCCAGAGATTTCACCTGCATTGCTGGATCATCTATAATCTCATTCAACCATCACAAAACCCCTCGACGTCAAAATTCTCAGTCTCAAATTTTGCATCAATTTCGATTCTGGATTGGTGATTTTCCCTTTCCTCTTTTCAAAGCCAAGCCCGGATCTCGACGCCTTCCTTTTGTACACTCTCCTCTTCCCACATCCCCCCGGTTAGTCGAGCCTTCCCTCGCTCCTAACCCGATCAAACATACCTCATACCCCTCAGAGGACTACAAATACCTCCCTCTTCTTCCACCTCCCAATCTCTTTTTTCCTCACTCTCACCATCACCACTACTTCCTTCCACTACCTGGTACGATATCCCATACACCTGACAGAGGACTACAAATATCTTCCTCCGCCTTCAATCCTCTTTCTCCAATCCTCCCACCAACCACGCCAATTCATTTCGCTGTCTGGTATTACATCATATACCCTTCACCTAACTGGACCATCGCCAAGTCTACCTGGACTACGAGTCACTTTCAAGACGCTGACCTCACTCCTATACCAGATCTTCTGGCGACAAATCAGACTTCTTCTCAGGGAAGAGCGTCTGAATCTGTTCATACAGTCGGCACTTCTCTTTTGGTGAGTATAAAGCGCGCCCCTATTCTACAGACTTCTGCCGCACCTGCCCTTCGACAACACCACTTCGCAAAATTTGAGATCCTAGCAGGACTTTCCCTCACAATTCTGAACATCTTTATGCAATCGGCGAGCTCCTAGCTGACTTTGATACGCCCAGAAGGACGAGCAAAGCTTGAGCGAGCCTGTACTCTGGTGAGTTTCCGCCCCGTACTCACACTTTCCCTCCGTTCCCTCCCTGAGATTCTACATTCACCTTCCCCTTCTCCTTCAATATTTCAAACACCCTCCAAATCCAGTTCCGTTTTTCTTCACCCTCACCAACGTTTCGTTGACGCAGGATCTTTTCTTTCAGCAAAGACTCACAGCCTCTCACGCACCAGTCTCGCTAAGTAATGCAGCCACGATCGTCAATAAGATCTCTCCTTCCCAACACTTTGCTGACAGAATCTTCATACCCAGCTCCAGCCCACCCTACGACACACCTCACTCATGAGAGCCTGAACAAGCCACATTCTAACAGAGTCTGAAACAGCAGCTTCCGGAAGGAGACCTCAACCTTGCCTACCATCGAACAGTCCTAGAAGCGGAAGAAATCGTGCCAAACTTCTTGGCTTACAACTTCTTCTTGCACACCACATTCAAGTCAAAGAACGACCACGCTACTTCCCAGATCGCCCTCAGCCTCTTGAAGATAGTCGCCTACTCCTCTTAATTCGGCACCTTCGCCCCTACAGTCGACGATCTTTTAAAAGGTCCTTTTGGCTAATCACAAAAATCGATCTGAAGCACCTTACGATACAACCCCCCGTCTACCTATCAAAGTTGGAAAACCGACCTTTGACTTAGACAAAGACGATCGCCTATACATCATCTCGCACATATCACCATACAACCAAGACCACCATTGAAGAAGATCAGGTATGATCACTCATTCGCCCTTGTGCTTTGGAGACAGCCACTAACAAGCTGTGTGAACCAGTTATCGCATTCAAGATGTGCCAGAAGGTCTTCTACACCTATGCGTGCCAGCACGTTGAGTGCGTCACCTATGACTGCAGCAAGAGTAGTGGATCCACAAGATCTGGCTGCATGAAGCGTGAACCATCCGAGCATACCAGTCTCAAGGACCAGATCTGCCACGACTGCAATGAGATAATCCGAAGCATAAGACAGAATCGCCATGACAATCACCCCGACGGCAGAGTTCGATCAAGACACTGGGAGCATCGAATTCGCCATTACGAGCACATCATGGATCGTGCTCAAACAATCTTGGATCAGCAGCAGGCTTCCCAGGCTGAACAGAGACAACAGTCGCAGCAGCCACAAAACCGTCTAGACCAGCAGTCAATCTCACCCAGTGGCAAGACCATTCGCCCTCTGGAATCGAACAAGCTGTCCAACATAAAGCACGATGAAACCTTTGGCCTCGTCCCCAATACGCTATACCAGCTCCATGTGGCCCAGGACGCCTGGTTCGCAATTCAGCGCAATCGGGATGACCTATGAGAGAGGCTTGGCATCTCGAAAGGATTGACGTTACTTTTTTGGAGGGGGAAAAATGGTGCCGCCAGCGCGTTGTGCCAGCAAGAATCATTTGCGCTTCCAATTTGGAGATGAAAAAGGCACATCTTGCTCAGCGCATCAAGTGATTTAGAGAGAAACTACCAGCGAATGCTTCCATTCATAGACCTATAGATAGACTCACCGATTTTGGCGGTCATAGCAACACAAGAATACGATGGTTGTTGTTCATTCAAGCTTGACCAAGACATCCTCAATGCAAAGGCAGACTGGAAGCTGCAGCAACAAGAGACGGCAAAAAGACATGAATGGGACAACGAAGTCGATGAAATGAAGTTATCCATCTTGGCGGCTCCAAGGAGCTGGTTCTGGAGAAAATATGGGTAGAAATAACCAACACAGCCAATTGAGAAGAAGAGCAGGGATCTTTGGACCAGCCAACGAACCTCACCGTTCTCCCCAGTGCTCCCCCAGCTGAGAGCTGTGAGGTGACAGCTTTAGGTTGCCTGCCCCGTGCTCCAGCTGAGCTTACTTGCACTAAAACACACGTGGGGAGGTTCCATAGCAGAACCAGCAGCTGAGGCAAACTGACGTTGCCCCCCCTAAACTAACTCGGCAAGGCCATCTGGCCAACTCTTTTTTTTCCGCATTCGTTCCGGCGTCATCATTCTCCAACATCACAGCTTCTCCTCCTCCAGCAGACGTTGCGCACCTGAATCTCAGTCGGCCATGGTTCTTTGACGATTGAAACGTGTGTTCACCTTATTGAAATTCTCTTCCCTCACACCTAGGACCCATTTTCCAGCCAGTTTGCAGGGAACGTCTCCCCACCAAGACCGCCGTCAGATTCGCCAGCCATGGCTTCCCCCTTCGAGACAGCGAAGCTCACCCTCGACTACCTCCCCTACGCCTGCGAATTCGACCCTCAAGATCCGAATCGGCTTCTCATCGGTGGAGGAGGCGGTGCCAACCGCAGCGGTGTCGCCAATAAGATTGTTCGTCAACCCCCAATCGCTCTTCCTCTCCCCCACATTCATCTGCCTTTTCATGCGACTGACCTTTTGCGCCGCAGACAGTAATCGACACCTCAGCCAAAGAAGAACTGCAAATCAGCGGCGAAGCAGACCTCAGCCGCAATGAGGACAGCGTCATGACCCTCGCCGCCGGGCCCAAGAAGGGCAGAACGAGCTACCTCTATGCCGGCATCAACTCGAGCCCCGAAGAGGTCGAAAAGGGCAAGAACGAGCACTTCCGCGCCTTTGGCATCGAGCAGAGTAAGGCGCGCGTCTCGGCTGGCGCCAACGCTCCTAGTGTGAGCCTGGCTGAGCTGTCGCGCACCTCCATCTTTGCCCATAACGAGGTCGACAAGGATGCGTACCAGCGCGTCCTCCGGCTGTCTGCGCCGTACGGCGAGAAGCAGCTCGGTGTCGTGGCCACGGGACTGGCTAAGCAGTCGCAGATTGCGATTTTTGAGATTGCAGCTGGGAATGCTACCAAGCCCAAGATCCTTGGACAGTTGGATGTCTCCAAGGAGCCCGTGGACGTGGATGTCATTCAGACTGGAGAGGACTCGTACCAGGTCGCGTACTGCGACGAGCGCGAGTTGTTCATCATTAATGTCGTCAAGTCTGAGATTGACGGTCCTCACCATGCCTACGAAATCAAGGAGGATGGTTCCGGTACCTGGCCCAACTTCCGGTCAATCCGGTACCTGTCGAAGGACTTTGTCTTGGCGGGCACCAACATTCCCAAGCGGGCTGGCGCAATCCTTTTGGGAATCCGACTGCCGCTCAAGGAGGACGAACCTGGACGCTTGGCGGCGACGGTTAAGCTGCCCAAGGCAGTGAACCAAATCACAACCATTGCCGCGCGGAACCTCACTCCTCCCTCGGCTCCTGGCGCCAAGATTGGCAATGCGCAGTTTCTCGTCGCTGCTGTTGGTCAGGATCGGTCGATATCGCTCTTCACGCTCGAGCATAAGGCGCATTCGAGCATTGACTTGCTCGTCGACTTTGATCTGCTCACGACGCTGAAGGAGGTGCACCCTCTGCAGATCACAAACGTCGCCCTCTCCCACTACATTCCGCCCAAGACCACCGCCCGCCCTCAGTACATCAAGCTGGCGAGTATCTCGATGAAGAACACCGTCATCGTGCA